ACCGATCATGTACAATTCAGTCTGTCGTACGTCCTGTCCACTGAATCTCTTAAGAAAAACTTCCACAAAATTCTCCCAACTTCATAATAATATATCCAATGTTACTAATTGAAATGAGATAATTACACATACCCAATTAACACCTTGTGCAGAAAAGGGTCCCACTGAATTTTATAGGGGCATAATGAAATCAAATAGTTCTTCCTTCTGGTCTGTGGCATCGATCAAGGTAACAGCTAGACTTGAAGAGGCAGACATATTTTCGGGACAGCATCCTACAATATCTAGACCACTGAAGTAGTAATGGTGGAGTACGTATCAGAGAAACTGCAGGTTATTTAGTCTGAAACTAATGATTCAAGCAGAATAAAAACCTTGAGATGAGAATAATGAAACAGGACAGAGAACCAATATAGGTCAACAAAGGTTAGGATGGGGTGGAGCTCGATACAGGACACTTGCAGAACAGTGAATGGACTGTAAGTTACGCCATTAGTGACAATGGTATTGACGCTATCTCAGCAACAGTTGATGCCTGACTATGTTGGGGTGTGAGAGCAGGAAACAAAGCACTTGTCAAACTGACTCTGTTGAAGTATGACAGAGTTCAATAAAAGTAAGCATTGTAGGAGAACCGTGAGTTTAATCATGCCAAAGCTTGCAAGAGGGAATCAAGGTAAATTGATACAATCAATAAACATTTACGACTTCAAATTAGGCTGTCTTGAATCACCGAAGTGCGCCAAACCCAAATTAGAGAAACTGGAGGCTGGATTATCCCAACAGGACATTCAAGGGTGTTGCAGAGTAAGAGGTCACCCAAGTGCAGAAGGGTTAGTTGTAAACAGAATTCAGCTGTGGGCTCTTGTGGTGGTGCCTCTATCTCTAGGTCAGGAGGCCTGTCACATAACATCTATGAACAGGTTGATTAGAAAAAAACTTAGAATTCAGCTATTCACATAATATAATCTTCAGATTAGAAACCGAGATAAAATTCCCTCACCTGTGAAGCCTGAACAATAATTGGCACACCGAGCAGCTTCTGCCCAGTCAAACCAATGGCGAGTGGAACAGAGCTCACATCGACAAATTCCACATAAGCAATTCCTTTTGAACGCCTCGAGTTCCTATCTGATATCATTCTGACGTCTCGAACCTGTGCAAATACAGATGCAGTACTTGTTCAATTCAATAGCTTCAAACCATAAATGCACCAGTTATAAAACAATGCCTACAAATCACTAGACACCAGATCCTCCATAAGGCTTTGGAAATTGACACACTTAAAGTTCAATATAACACGTATAGATAGAATTATTATGATTCTAACAAGTAAGTCAAACTTGGTTGGGCAGAAGACGCAAGAGGGCATGACACATTCTGCACTGAGACACTCATCTTCAGAAGGATTACAGCTGTGATATTTTTCTGTCTAAATCTCCAAAAATGGTGAGCAGAGTCTATTATACAGATGTAAATTTGCCCTGTTGGAACTTTGAGGTTCTACTTATTAGCCATTGTTTTATCTCTGTTATAAGCACAGTTTAACAAAGTGCTGACTCGAAAATACCAATCATTTTGCAGTATGTACAATAGAAGCTTACATACTATGGCAAAGCAACATGCCATCATGCACTTCAGACTGGTCAGAAAGTAGTCGAATTTGCTATTTCCTCATGCTTACAGAACAAACGGCCAGTTTTGAAGAAAAATTAGATGAGTGCAAATGTCTTTACAATTTAATGTATTTTTCCCCCCTGTTGAACTAAATTCTGGAGTTGTCATTTAGTATATTACAAACATCCTACCTTTCCCACAGATGAAAAGAATTCCTCTAAGTCTCTTGGTCGAATTCGTGCTGCAAGTTGCATACAGAACACCGTTCGGGCATCTCTTTCTTCAGGAGAAATGTTATCGATTGGCTCCCTATGGTTAATGGTAAACAATGCCTTAGATCTGAGATTATACATTAAAATTTCAGTGTGAAAAAGATGATATCAAATCAACTTCAATCAGAGGACGCCAAAAAGGGCAGGAGACGCAGGAATCGTTAGACATTTCAGTATTTAGATGAAAATTTGAAATGCTATAACATACAAGATTATGGGCCAAGTGTCGGAAATTGGGATTAGTATAGATAAATGCTTGATGACCAGAAAGGATAAAATGGACTGGAGGACCTTTCTCTGCGCTGTTAAAACTTTGACTCTTTCATGGTCTGTAATTTACATGGTGACAAAGTATATTCGGTGACAATGAAGACACCAAGTGAATCAAATTTCAATCAGGTTTCAAAACTCACCATCTCAAGCTTGCAGATGTACAATTATATTTACATTTTAAAATCCCAATAAAAGCAGCTAGATTTGGGCGATATAATCATTAAATATCCTTGAATAGGCCTCCATTTTGATGTAACAAAATGATGGGTTAAAGCTGTTCAGTTGACATGATCTTGCTGCTTATGTAATTATTTTTTCCTAATTTTAAAAGCCAGAATTAGATGGGAAAAATGTGGTCTAACTGATTAAGGGACAGAACTTTATTAGGAGTTAGTATATGTGCCCATTTTAAAAAATGCACTGGACCACCACAGTAGTCACATGTAAAGAGAAATGAGAGCAAAGTCCATCAGCCACATTCTTGCTCTCATTAATTACAACAGGTGTGGTGTACATCCCAAATCACAACCACCTGATTCTCAATAAAAAAGTGTCAGTGTTAATTGCAAGTCAGGCCTGACTGGCTTTTACCAGTTTTTAAAAAAAGGTGCAATTTATTTTTGTCATCACATACAAGACGCAGCGTTTTTTTCTGAAATATTACCTTATTGGACTTTTATCCTTTTTATGTGGGCTTCTGCTTCGGGAGCGCCTTCGACTTTGGAATTGGAAGAAAACACAAGAAATAGGTTATGACTCTGAGGGAAGTACAAGTTCCAATCTAATTTCACTACGTATTTTCATAAATTAAACACGTGTTGTAATAAATCACATATTGCTAAGATTCCAATAACAAGCACTAACTGGAAAGGGACCAATATACTGGTGGGGAGATTTGCTAGTTCTATTTTGGGAATCTTTAAACTAATAAGGGGATGAGGGAGTGGGGGCAGGGTTCCCAAGTAGCAGTGAAAATAGGAAGACAGATGAGGATGGCTTTGAATCAAAAAGTTAATTAGAAAAGACAGACAAAAACAAGTCAGAGAACGAGATATCTTTGGAGAATTAAACTGCATTTATTTCAACGCAAGGGGTCTTACAAGGTTAACAAACTCATTATGTATGGGGACATGAGACAGGGACATAGCTTTTACAGAAACTTAGCTGATGGAAGGACAGGACTAGCAGCTCAATGTTCTAAGTTTTAGATGCCTATAGGAAGGATAGAAAGAGAGGCGAGAGAGGAAGGGTAGCATTTTTGATTAAGGAAAACATTTTCTATATACTTAGAGGTTATTTCTGCGGGATTGTCCAGTGAAGCAAATGGGTAGAACTTTGAAATAGGAAAGGGATGATCACCTTAATGGAATGGAAATATAGACTTCCCGCACCTCCCCCCCACAGCAAACAGTCAGAGGGAACCCGAGGAGCAAAACATGCAGAGATCTCAGCTATGTGTAAGGATAATAGGGTTGTAACAGTAGAGGATTTTAATCTTATAAACACTGACTGGGACTGCCATAGTGTTAAGGGTTTGGATGGTGAAGAACTTGTAAAATGTGTTCAAGATAATTTTCTTATCAATATGTAAATATACTTACTAGAGGAGGAGCAAAACTTGGCCTTCTCTTGGGAAATAAGGCAGGGCAAGTGACTGAGGTGTTAGCAGGGGAACACTTTGGGACTAATGATCATAATTCTATTAGTTTTAAAATAGTTATGGAAAAGAATAGACGTCCCATAAACATTCTTATTGGAATAAGGCAAAATTTAACGTTATGAGAAATGAACTTTTGAAAGTTGATCGGAGTAGACTGTTTGCATGCAAAGAGACAACCAACAAGTGGCTTTTGTTACCACAGTTTTGAGATTTCAGAGGCATTATGTTCCTATTAGCATGAAGGATAAGACTGGTAAGAGTAGGGAACAATGGATGAATAAAGATATTGAGGCTCTGGTCAAGAATAAGAAACAGCCACATTAGACACAGACAACTGGGGTCAAATGAATCTCTTGAAGAGTATAAAGGGTGTAGGGGTCATGCTTGAGCAGGAAATCAGGACAGCAAAAAGGGGACATGAGACAGCCTTGGCAGATAAGATTAGGCATAATTCAAAAGGTAAGGTTAGAGCTCTTTAAGATGATCAAGTATGTCTATACGGTGAACCTCAGGGGATGGGAAAGATAATAAATATTTCACGTCAGTTTTTACTGTGGAGAAAGAAATGGAGACTCAAGAAATCTGGGAAATAATTACTCATGTTTTGAAAATAGTTCATGCTACAGAAGTAGTCGTGCTGGAGTTCTTAGAAAACACAAAGGTGGATAAATCTCTAGGACATGATCAAGTGTATCCCAAGACATTGTGGCATGTTAGGGAAGAAACTGCAGTGCCCCTGGGAGAAATAACCAAGGGTGACATGGAGGACTGGACAGTAGCCAATGTTGTACCTTTGTTTAAGAAAGACTGTAAGGAGAAGCCTAAGAATGACAGACCTGTGAGTCTAACATCTGTGGTGGGTAAGCTGTTGGGTAAGAGAGGATTTACATGCATTTGGAGAGGCAAGGAATGATTAGGGACATTTAGCCTGGTTTTGTGCAAGGGAAATCATGTCTCAAACTTGAATTGTTCTGATCAGTTTTTTGAAGTAACAAGAATGTCACTGAGGGCAAAGCAGTAGACGTCATTTATTTTAGTGAAGCCTTCGATAAGGTTCCACATGGTAGATTAATTGGTAAAGTTATAGCACATTGGATTCAGGGTAAGCTCGCCAACTGGATACAAACACAAACAGAAGTTGCTGGAAAAGCTCAGCAGGTCTGGCAGCAACTGTGAAGAAAAAATCAAGAGTTAACGTTTCGGGTCCGGTGACCTTTCCTCAGAATTTTTTCTGAGTTCTGAGGAAGGGTCACCAGGCCCAAAACATTAACTCTGATGTTTTCCTCACAGATGCTGCCAGACCTGCTGAGCTTTTCCAGCAACTTCTGTTTGTGTTCCTGATTTACAGCATCCGCAGTTCTTTTGGTTTTTATCAACTGTCAATTGTCTTAACAGCAGGAAACAGTGGTTTTGGAGGGGTTTTTTAGACTAGGGGTCTGTTACCAGCATTGTTTCACAGCGATCGGTGTTGTGTCCACTTTTGTTGGTCATTTATGTAAACAATTTAGAGAACATAGAAGGTATCATTAGTGAGTTTGTGGGTGACACCAAATTGATAGTATAGTGGAGTTAAGAAAGTTATTTGAGATTATAAAAAGATCTTGATCAACTGAGTCAATGGGCTAAAAAATGACAGATGACGTTTAATGTGGATAAATGCAAAGCGCTGCAGTTTGAAAAACAAACACGGGCAGGACTTATACACTTAAAAGTAGGACCATGGGTAGTGTTGTAGAACAGAGACACCTAGGGGTTGAGGGACATAAATTCTTTGAAGTCTGCATAACATGTAGACACATGGTGGTTAAGGCAGCATTTAGCATGCTTGCCTTCATTGCTCAGACCATTGAGCACAGGAATTGAGACAGCATGTTGAGCTTGTACAGACCACTGGTGAGGCCTCTTCTGAAGTAATGTGTTCAGTTCTGGTCACCATTATACAGGAAGGATATTATCAAGGAAGAGAAGGTTCAGAAAAGATTCATCAGGATGTTGCCAGGAATAGAGAGCTTGAGTTATAAAGAGAGGCTGGGACTTTTTTCCCCCCACTGGATCGTAGGAGGTCGAGGGGTGACCTTACAGAGGTTTATGAGAACATGAGAGGTATAGATAAGGTAAATGGCAGGTGCCTTTTCCCTAGAGTGGGGAATTTCAAGACTGGTGGTATATTTTTATGTGAAAGGATAAGGATTTAAAAAGGACACAAGGGGCAACTTTTTATTTTTAAAAACAGAGTTGTTCCTTTGTGGAATGAACTACCACAGAAGTGATGGATACAGGTAATTACATTGAAAAGACATTTGGATTAGTACATTAATAGGAAAGGTTTGGAGGGATATGGGCCAAACGCAGGCAAGTGGGACTGGTTTGGTTTGTGAACATTGTTGGCATGGACTAGTTGGACCAAAGTGTTTCCATGCTGTATGTATCTATCACTATTTCTGGAAGCATGAATTCAGATATAACTATTTTATTGTAAACATCAATCGACAAATTTACCACTCAAAACCTGTAGCTAAACCTGTATATTCAGGATTATGAACATCAGATTGCTGCAATTGAAGTCAACCTCTAGCACAAATCATTTCTATAAACAAACAACAATACAGGAATTTTTCCAGCTACAACTACATCTTGAAATCCAATACTTATTTCTGAAATACATTAAATACACTGATACACAGTATATGACTGCCTTGTCCACCAGGACTAAGTTATCGAACAAAGATTATATAACACACGCAGAATTGATACTTGAGAAAATGGAACACAACTCAAATTGTAATTTCCTGAAGGCCAAAACTTAACATGACAAGTGAAAAGACAGTCGGGAATTAACTAAGCTGCGCAAGAGGGTATGAACCATGCAGTTAAAGGGCAGCAGCGCTCACTATCAGCAAACTGAGGAACAGTTGGTAATCAAACTTAGAAAAATTTCACAAGGTTTTAGAGAACTATTGCCGGATTTATTTTTTAGGCACTGGATGAATAGATGAACAGTAAATGATTATTTCCACTCCTATACATTCCAACGTTGCCTGTTAAGTTCAGTGGAAATTTACTGCAAAATCATTAACTTAAAGAAAAACAAGCCAATCTTCAAATATGATCTTCAATCATCCACTAGATTATGAAAAGGCCTTCACAGCTGGTTTTAAAAAATTTAAACAAACACCGCAGGGCTTCAACTTACAGCCTAGTATTTGAGGCCATCAGCAAGAGCTTAAAAATGATCAGTGGGCATTTTTCTAGAATGCTACTTATACTTAGAGTTGCAAGAAGGTATGGACCAGTTTATCATTTTAAAGGAGGGCTCCTGGCAAATACAATTTAATAACACACCTTATTTTGATACCGGGTTGCATGCCAATCTTCCCTCTGCTGCTGCTACCACTGCTGAATTTTGGACCAGAACTAGAATTAAAAGATGAGACAAAGCCAATTATAGCTACAAGACATATCAGCCACCTGGCTTTCAATAGGGTTGGGATGCATCAACAAGTCTTACATGTATTACAAATGACAGCTTGAATGTTAGTTTTACCTTAGTGGAAACAAGCAATATAAAACCGTCTTATAATGGATGCAAGACTAACTTTAGTCAACAGTTAAAGATTTGTTCCCCATCTATTACTTGTGCCAAGGATCGACTGTCCCAATTCCATCCAAGTCAAAGCTTTCAGATCTGCAGTTTACCATAGACACATGCACTTAATACTTCCAGGAAAAAACTTAAATTACAATGCAAGATACAAGTTGCTGCGGCTAATTACATACAAATTGAGTCCCGATTCAAAAGGATGCAGATGAAAATCATTCAAAAAGCAGTCAAAATACAGTGAAGGGAAAACACACATACACAGGCCGCTAAAGAAAGTTATGGGGCACAATAAGCTTTATGCATTGTAAGTTTTTTGAAAGAGTGTAGAATAGAACAGCTAAGATTTAAGACTATGGTGCAAAATGACTAGATTATTTTATGGATTCTAAAATAAGTCAAGGGATATAGGGATTAGAAATCACAGCTAATATTCAGTGAACAAACCCAACTACATAAGCTAAATGCAAGAGAGTTATAAGGAGAGATGTGCCTAACAAATCCAAACTGAAATGCAGCATCAAACGGGAGTTGACAGCTTGATGGAAGAGATAAAATTTAAATATAGTGGGGGAAATTCAAGCTTACATATGAATGAACTCTGTTCTCACAGCCTATACATTTTAAGAAAGCTATAATTTATGCACAGTAGTTACTGAAATCCTTTCGAGAATTTCCCACCGCAAAACATCATATTTAATTCTTTCCTAACTATCCTTTTGGGACAAAACAACTCCCACCTACAGAATACACGAATTACAATTGTAGCATTTCAACTCTAGAAATTCGTCACACCAATGTAAAATTAGTCAACATTTATACTAGCCACACATTACCTAAGTGTCACAAATTATGTACTAAGTTGAAGTACTTTCTGTTTAAAATAGTTTGGCAGAGATTAGAAAAAAATTTAAAGAATGAAATTTCATTCTAATAAGGACTACAATTAAATATGAAGACTGTCTAGATGCAAAGACTGCCTTAAACAGGCCTTTATGGATGAGGTTCTATGGAGGAAATTGTGCGAGAAAAGGACAGCAGAAAGGAAGAGGCATCTAAGACGAGTTGCTGAAATTTTGTGAAAACTTAAATTTCCAAGTCATTTAGGCACCATCAATATCTGGATCGCAGTATGTCATCCATTATCAGAGCAAAAGAATAGAACGAGAAGCAGTATCAAATACCGATAACCAAATTGAATAAAAACAAAGATTTTTAAAAGTTGTGGTGGACAATGTTTTGGCCAGATTCATGCCCATTTCAAAAGGGACAAAACCACATGAAAGATCGCCAGGTCAACTTTGTGAAGCATATGCGCTAAAGTGAACTATCAACTATAATTGATAATTAACATGACAATGGCACAACATACAGCACCCATTCTCACAAGCTCAAGGTTAAAAATAGCTATGTGTTTTGACTGGGTATAATTTTAGGGATTAGAAATAACACTACAAATACTTACATAAGTCGTTTCTCCAAACTAAGCAGGTAGAGATGGCAGAAAGAATTTACATGAGTACACACTCAACTTCTAAATCATCAGCAATTCCACTTTTTTGACTGAGGTCAGTTTAAACTACTACTATTGCGCAAGCATTGATTATCCTCAACAGCCATCTTGTGGCTAACACAGGAACACGCTGTCAACTTGTTAGCAGAACTGCAGGTGCAATTAGAATGGAACAGCGTTTTCTCAGATTCTATTACGAAACCAGTTCTAAGAACAATCTTCAAGTATCTCTGAAGTTTTACAGAAAACCTTTACAAAATTGAAAACGTATACCATACCAGTACCATACTAGAACATCTGGAATAGAAGCTGCACCAAGAGCAGAGAAATAGATTAAAAATACCTCACACTTAACACTTTATCTCTTGCTAGACCCCGATTTTAACTCTCAAATTGCTAAACATGAGTAATTCCCAATTAACTGTCTTTTATAGCTACCCACGCTGGTAATGTTGTACAGACTGATGTTGGTCATTTTTTAGGAAGAAGATTACATTAAAACAAATTGCCGTCAATTATACGATAAGAAATCGCCTTGAATTAGAAGTAACCATAATATATTTTTTGTTCTTTGGTTCTTTGCCAAAGTTCTTTGCCCATAGCAAGCGACCACAAGGGAATAGAAGATGGCACGAAGATTTGTATCAATCAAAGCTACCATATTAGTACACAGATTGCCACAAACTGAACTTGAGACATTATTCAAAAAGTTACTGGAATAGCAAGTAGAGATAGCTAGCTAAGAGGGTCAGGATAGACAATTATATTATACATTAACATCATCTGTGTAGGAGAATGAGTAACAGCAGCAGAAATTTTCACTTCTGCCTGAGATCTGTTGAAATATATTGTGGATATTGCCCACTGCAGTTAAGTTTTGATTCGTATATTTTGGCCCTGTAATTACAAACAGAATCAAAGCTCTAATTCATATAATACAAAAAGACTAAAATAAATAAAATATCTACAAAATGTATCCCACCAATAAGTAGCTTTGGCTAAAATACAGGCCTCAAACCAATTTAGGATCAGCTACAAATTCTTAATATCTGTAGCACAGGATGTAAATACATTGCTACTCTTCGAACACACACTGCATGCATTCCTGTAGCTAGAAATTCTTTTACAGTGCATTTGTCAAATGTAGCAGATAAGCTGAAAAATGATTAAAATTTCGCAGAAAATGAAAGATGTACAAAAATCTGAAATAAAAACAAAAAATACTTTAAAAACACTCAGCACATCAGGTCAATAGGTTGACTGTTTCTCTATTCACAAATACTGAGTATTATCGGCATTTTCTGTTTTTTCTTCAGATTTGAAAGTTAGAATTTAATAAAAGTAAACATACAATGGGCTCCTATAGCGGCCTCGTTCTACTCTCCGGCGGTCTTTGCTCCGGCTGCGACGATGTTCTCTACTCTTGCTGCTCTTTCTCTCCCTGCTCCTGCTTCTCCTCCTGTCTCGCTCTTTGCTGCGCCTGCGCTCTTTGCTTCTACTTCTTTTCCTTTCACGACTGTGACTTCGACTTCGACTCTTCTTTTTCCTGAAGAAATACAAATGGCATTATGTAGCAATGCAAATCAATACCTACTGATTGCAGTAGTCTATTACTAGTGATTCAAATTCACTCAAACTATGTGGAAACAGCATGAAGATTTTTTATTACACACGATTCAATTAACAGTAGACTGCAGGTTTTGCAGCATTATTATACTGCTAAAATGATGCAATGCTAACACATGTACTGCAAAACCAAAGCTGTGTAACTGCAGAAAATATTCATATATAATGCTTTGAGTGGAGTAGTAACTTAGAGGGACAGAACACAGAGATAAAAAAAACATGGCTGTTGGAAGTTACATGGAAAAGTAAAATGTACCAAAATACTTTCTGGATAGAGAAAATTTAGGATTAGAGACACACATTTGGCAACCATGTAGTGAAACCATCAGAAGAGGGCTTGTATGTACTCAAAATGGTGGCCTTTATGTTAAGAAGGTGAAATTATGAAAATGAGCCATATTTTAAGTGTACAGATCCTTGGTCACAGCACATTAAGAATGCTGCATTCTATTTGAATAGCTCAGGAAGAATAACTGGCTTTTTACAAATTCACCAGATTTTTAAAAATGCATTCATGGAATAGGGATGTCACTGGTGAGGCCAGAATTTATTACCCTTCCCTAACTGCTGAGGGGGCAGCTGACAGGCAACCACATTACTGTGGATCTGGAGTCACATGTTGGCCAGACTGGGTAAGAATGGCAGATTTCCTTCCATAAAAGGACTAGATGGGTTTCCCAACAATTGGCAACGGTATCATGGTCATCAGACGTTTAATCCCAGATTTTTTGACAGATTCAAATTCCACCACCTGCTAATGGTGGGATATGAACCTGGGTGTCTAGGACATTTCCTGTTTCTCTAGATTAACTGCCTATGGATATTACCATTAGGCCATCACCTCCCCAGTATAGTGATAGATACCGGGGTTAAAAAGGTTAAATAAAATCAGGTAGTGCAGGTTGTATAAACTGGAGTCTATGGCGTACAAAGTTGTGAAGTAACCTGGAGACTGTTTCGAAAATAAAAAGAGCACAGAGAAGCTGCATCAGCTGGATATATTCTATATCCAAGAACAAGATATGAGGAGTTGTATCAATATCTGGCATGGTACATAATTATTAGCTCCACTTGTTGCACTGGTAAATTAAACACACTGTCTCAACATTTTTTTAAAATACAGATCCTTCAAAATTATCTACAGAAATGGGAAGATGCTATCATTTCAGAATAATAAATAACTATATAACTAAATCCATGAACAACGAGGAAAGCAATTACCAATGTAACTATTGTGAAATATATGTTCGATCTTCCCACTTGCACAAGATGATTTCAGAGCAAAGCAATTATTCACTAAAATAGCTATAGTTGTTTGACAGATTCAAATGACATCTGTGCCAGAAAGTCAATTTGCTATCAACACCCCAAAGATTGTGGTATGATTCAGTCAACTGGCTGTGTGGAAACTGCTGCCCAGACAAAACAAAGTAGTTCGATCCTTTTCAAAAAAACATTAGCCTATATTTTAAATGTTTAACTTTTACATTACATTAACATCACAGCAATCAATAACTATTCTGAATGTTATAGTAATAGCAGTATTCCAGTGAAGTTGTACTAAATTTAAATACTGGAAAGTCGATCGGAAGTCATGTATTACAATGAAACTGCTCATCAATTTCATTAAAAAAAGTTAGTACGTAGACTTTCGTTTTTGGTGTCAAGTCATAATAGCTTGAATGGCCAGAGCTCTCAAGCCAAAACACTACCGAAGATGGAGAGTATCTTGTATCCAATTTCTCCACAATTTATCTAAAACCGACACCAAACTTTTTCCAGATTTAAAAGCACATGAAAACAAGTCACCTTGCCTGCTCAAACAAAAGTGGATTAAAAAGGTACAAATTACATCGCCAGAGTGAAGCACTTAAACAGAAAAAAATCATCTATTTATGGGATTTGAAACATAATACCAAAACTTCAAAACTGTTCCATTGTATATTGCATTTGGCTTACTTTTTACTGCGCTCCTCTTGTCCATTGGCTTTGCTCGATTTGTTCTCATCCTAGGCAGGTCGACAGAAGAACATCAGAATGACGAAGGGGAAACATTTTGCAAGTCGTGAGGGGAAGGGAAGAGGGAATAAGAAAATATAGAACACAATGATTTAAAAAAATATTACTTATATAAGAAACTCTAAAGTTTCTTTGATACGGACCCTTCTATAGACATTAGGTTTTTATTAATTACATACTTTTAAATTAGGAATACAGGAAGACAGGAGATAATCTTGCTGCTACTGACACAGCGATCAGTACCAGTGCTAAAGTGTGCCTAAGACATGTGTGGCTGTGTTAGCTGTAAGCCACAGTTGATTTCCTGCGACCAGTCCTGTTCCTCACGTCTTCGCCCATTTGTACTGGAAGGGTGCGACTGTAAGAGCTTGAAGTCACCTCTCTCACACATCTCGCCCTGAAGCAAACAGGGAATCACACCTCTTAGTAACGTCGATTCCCAAGAAATCTGAAGTCTTCAATAATCCACCAGTTCAGCCTAATCAATCCCTAAATGTGGTCCTGTTTACACAGGGAACATTATTTATATTAAACGAGATAAAATGAAAGAAACACTATTCAAACACAATCCAACTATTTTGCAGCGGCAAAGCTTGACGTATCACATCACAACCCTTTTTTACCCCAAAATATTAATCTTTTCTACTAAAAACAGCACCACAAAGTTGATGAGACACCCCTTGATTTCAGAAACATAAGTAGGTTTATTAAAAACTGAGCACACATGCTTAGATAGGTGCACAGTGAGGTTTATTGCTGATATAAATTTGGTCAATAACTACTACAGAGTCCAGGTGCTTTGTTTAAAATTAAATGTATTATTTCGTATTTGCCCCATAACTTATGTTGGCTAAGATTTCATTGATAAGCTTACGTTTTGTGGTAATTTTAATTTTGTACTTTTGCAGAATGATCTGCCAACACTAAACTATGAATCAGGCAACCAATATACTTTGAAATGTCACTCTAAAAACAATCAAAATTGAATATACGACCAGAGTTAAACCCGGTGGTATATATTACGGAGGAAGCATGTTTCTGATTGTGTTGTAAAGCAATTTTACTAAAAAACTTCCATCCAGCAAATGGTAAATTTTCAAGTATTTGTCACGACATTTTACATTAGATTTACAAAAGCTCCCCTTTATCCCTGCATGTATGCGTAGTGTAAAATAAATAGCATTCTGTGTTGCAAAGTTATGAAATTTGCAGAAGGAAGGACCGTCAAGCCTTGAGCTAGTCAAAACAAAATATTGTGTTAGAACAGATGAAAGACGTTATGCATTTGTTCTGTAGTTTGTAGAGTCTGTTTCAGATACACTTTTCACGTGCATCTACATTTATCCCACTTCGTTCAGCGAAACACCAATCGAATACAAGCGCTCTACCTACTGGCACAAAAATGGCCTAAAATTTATTTTCAGGCCTAAACTTCTGACGAATTACTTTTTGTAGGCTTACTCAGGCTGCATTATACAATTTATTGAAGAATAGGCAACAAGAAGCCGAACTAACACAATACTAATTTATCTTGTTATATTCCTTCATCTTAATATCTTGTGTACAGCCTGTATAACAATTCCTGAACAATGAATTCAGTAATTTAGCTCAGGATTTAACTACTAACAAAATACCAAAACAAAGTGGTATTTCAACTACATTCTATGTTATTTACAGTTGGAATAAACTCTCCAAGTCCTAGCAGGCCACCCAAAACTTGACAGTTATGCTTCCAACAGTTTCAACTTCAGCAAATGCGTGATCAAAAGATGGGGAATCTTAAAATAATTTAGCGGAACAAATAAATTAGCATCTATCTTTTGGACAATGACTCTAGCCCATATCTGGATTATCATTTATTTGAAATTGACAATCAACTGCATAACTGTGATCCAATGGCCCACCACTCAAGCTTCCTACACCCAGCCTGCATGAGACTGCAAAACCAGCCATTTTGTAAGCTTCCAATCGTGAATCTTGATTTCTCTGTGTAAACAGGGCCGTGTTTTCAGTCGAACTTTATTCTATCAATAGTATAAATGCATTGCATACAGTGAAAGTAAAATTTAACAGATCAATATAGTTTACGTTTAGGTTCTGTGAAACTTTTTTTGCATGCAGAATATTAGTTTCTCTTCTAAAACCTCTAAATAATGGATTTTTGTTGTTGTTGTTTACAATTCATCTACTCTTTGATACTACAATGCAATAAGTTTACTGTTTAAAACCGTACTTTCACCTTGTTGCTATACCAAAGAATAGGCCATCTTTTCTTGGGCTTTGGGATTTTACCCAGGGTACCACAGAACAGCGATACTTCACGCAATTACTACCTTATTGTTTGATAGTTCAGACTGGAATCAAAGCTGTATTCATGGTAGTAGAGATGTGATATCACTAGGCAAGTCTACAAAAAGAGATAGATGGGCATTTATTCATCACTCTAATCGAAACTACTGCAAAAAAAGATCTCATTTCTAGTTGCAGAACCAGCTCAACAGTAAAGAAAAACTTTACTTAAATGTAGTGAAATATCTGTATTCTATATGCAGTAAATATTAAAATGAAAGGGTTATGGAACTGTGATATTCAATGAGTATAGCACAGCAGTAGTTTCATAAATGGTGCTATTTGTTCTGTATTTTATGACCTGCGTGGGTGCCATTGCTCCTCACCTCCTTCCTGTATGGTGCTTCCAGCATTGCTTCAATATCCAAGTCATCTGCCATCTTTTCTGATTGTCACCTGCAAAACATACAACAGGAGCAGGAACAATTAAGAATAGGGAAACAATTTTGAACCAAATATCTTATCATCTATGGTGTCTGCATTTCAAAGTGACTAGTGTTTTTGGATGCTCTAACAGACAAACTAAAATCCACCCTCTTCTTTTCCCCAAACATTTTTGTCTTATTTCATTGGAAGCAGCATTTTTTCCTGTATGCTAATATCTTTTCTTTGAGAGAGACAAAACAAGTAAAGAAAAAAAAAATTCCTCATCAACAGTTTTTGAGGAGCCAAAAGATTGATCTGAAACTTTCTGCTTGTATCTGTATCAATCTGGATGCCACAAATTAAGCTGCCAAATTTACCAGAAAGATATTTCCAGAACAAAACTTAAAATAACAAGATAAATTATTTAGCACCCAAGTTGGTGGAACTTCAACTCTAGCTATTTTTTGGCCTGATTATTGCTTGAATAAAACCTAATCACATAATGCATGCTTCTTCCCGATCCAATAAAAAAGTTAAATGAGCAAACATAAATTTGAGTACTTGACTCAGTGTTTAATAGCTGTCTCACAACGAAGTTTCTACTTAAAGCAGCGGTAAAGTTTTCCCCATGTGAAAACTTTAAGCGAATGTTTTAAGAAATTTCTTGTTTACACAGATGGTGTCCTTAAGGGTCTCAGAAGAAGCAGCTTTCAGATAAAAACTGTAAAAGTCACAAATAAAAGCATCATACATAGCAAACAAAAATTAGACATGTTCAGCAAGTCCAGAACAGTCTAAATTAAAGAATATAATTTTACTGTTATTTTGTATACATTGTCAATAGTCAGCTAAAACTCAAATAATCTTACAATGGTAAAAGATGTAATTATGATTTGAGTAACAGACTTACGAGATCACTTAGAAAAAAAAGAGTACTTGTAAGCAGCCTGTATCAGATACATACTGATATTTTAAAACTGCAGGTAAATGATAGTAGCATCTCATTTTAACAGTCAGCCGAACCAACCAATACTATTATAGCAAATGTATAGAGGCTGAAACAGTGTAGAAAATGCACTTTCTGGTTAATCAGATTTTGTTCATCTCCATTATGCTGCAGTGTACTATATTTAGGAATCAAATTAGGTCATCAATGTGTGTGGGGCCAGCTAAACACTAAACCCTAATGGATCAAGCAGGGCTATTGATTTTGCCCTTAAGGTAGAAGCAATGAAATTAAATTTCAGAGATTTAAATAATAAAAATTAATCAAGTTACAAGTGATCAGTTTCACTGTAAGTGATAATTCAATGCAGACAAAATTTCTCCAGGTTGAAGCCATTTAAGTAAGATTCTATACTGCTTGAGACTTGAAACTTGGCCACTTACCCAGATTATTTACTCATCATATATCACTAATAAACACGCACTGCTAAAAGCTGTACCTGATTTTTTTTAACATTACACAAGGAAGTTGCCCATTTAATATAATTAGTCTCAGGAAAATTTCTGGCTGAAATAAATAGTTCTACATATTAATATTTTAAATCCTTTAAATTCATTCTCAGAGGTTTACACTTGAGTCTCCACTCTTATCCACTGTTCCCAAATAACATTTGTACTTTTTCTCCCCACCCCAAATCTTGAACAAAACTCCTTTTTACTTGTACGTTACGTTAACAATGCATGGTAGTAAAAAGAAACAGTCGATCTGTGTAAAATTCAAGTGTCCCAAATGTCATCAACTGGTATAAACAGAAAAATAATTGATTCAAAAACTGGCCTATTTATAGAAGGAAAAATTATTCAGAATAGTTCTACAATATATGGAAAATACAACCCGTCTAGTGGATAAAAAAATTGTGCAGCAAAATTTTCATAATATATGACTATTTATAGAATTTGTCATATTACAGATTTTGCAGTGAAGCCGTAGCAACAATTAGGGCTCCATTCTTCAAATATAGGGACATAAAATATTGTAGATTTTTTTTTGAGGGGTTTGTTAGCAGTCCGTAGAAAATCAGCCCTCCTTTGTCAACAACACAGGAGAATCTGCAACACACAGGTACAAAATGATGTTTTAAAAAAGTTGCATAAGACATACTTCTTCATCAAGTAGGATTGTACTAATACTTCCACAACTATTTGACATCCCCTAGGTAACATATTAGCCCCATCGTATTTCCCTACTGAATCTCTGGACATAATGTGATTACATCAGGATATCAGTTACAGGAACAATTCATTTGCATACATACACAGCTCAACACAATTTTCCTTGCACAATTTAGATTTCCAAAAAAAGTAGAAAAATTAGTTTTCTCAATAGTGGCTGTGGTGTTCATAGAAAACGGATAGTGTTTTATTCACTGGATCCTTTAAAAATGGAAAATTAAGTATACAGAATGATGACCAAAAGAAAATCAAGGGCAAATTACACAAGCATACGTGTACCGTGCCACATAAAATTTGAACATTTCTCCAATAAGACCAAGATAATTTTTTCATTTTTAGCACCATGGACAAAAAAAAGTGATGGTATGGCACCATGCAATTTCTGTAAACCTTATAGACATTCACTCTTCATTATGAAATGAGAGACAATCCTGCTTCTAGAATTTGTCCAGACATGCTGATAAAGCATTGGTGCCTTGTTAAACATTCTTCAAAGACATCAGAAAGACTGTTCATCACGGATGGGACAACTAATTTCTGAAGATAGAAAAATGGAAAGTTACATTTAACACAGTAAATTATTTTATTTAAATACATAGATCTTTTGGGTCCTATCTCTTAGAATTAGTTGCCCTGAAGTTGCCAGCCTCATTGAAGTCAAAAATTATAAGTGAACAGAAATAAAATAAATTTTACCTGACCAATTTAATGGATCTATTTGGTTAGCTTTTCCATCTGACAAGTTTGTTAATTTACCCAAAATCTATCAAAAAGAAAAGCCTATTAGCATTATCACATATTTAGCAGGAGCAAACAGCAGTAAAACCGGTATTCAAAGAAGTATTTTGTACGATGCAAAACCAGCAGACACCCCCCACAAGGAAATGATGCTGTAGTCAACAAATGAGCAGACAGACAATACCATGCTAAAAGTAAAGGTTGAAAGAAAAGCATTGAAATGTGAAAATGTGACATGTTGCAAGAGCTATTAAAATTAACACAGCAGTATCAGGGAAGCAATAGATGCAAAAGATTCTAGAAGTATATCGACTGGAAAGAAAAACTACTGTGTCTTTAAAAATGTATGCAGATAACACAATTAACAATGAGGAAACCGTATATTGTTAATCATGTCAGTTTTTACCGTTGCGGAAAATGACAAAATAGCAATGACTAAAAAAACTTAAGCCATAAAGAGGAACTTAGCGGATTTAATACAAGTACAACAGGATTTAATATGTCCAAAAATAATAATGACATATCAGGATTTAACGTAGGTAAGTCTCCAGGATCTGATGTTTTTTCATCTAAGATATTAAAATAAACAGTAGAGGAAATCACAGATGCTTCACTCATTTTTTAAAGCTCTCCTGATTCAGAAATAAGGTCTTTGGATTGGAAAATTAAAAATGTCACTCCATTATTTGATACTTGTGAAGTTACTGGAATCTATGGGACACAGAGCTACTCATGAGCTTCAGAGCTGGTGCAGGTATGTGAATGGTAAATCATGTCAAGACTGATTTTAATTATAAACAACTAAGTTTCAAGAAATTTTCCTTGATATTCTTGTGGTCTACACAAACTTCCAAACAGTACAATAAACGTTCCATTCAGAAAATTAGCAAAAATAAAAGGCACATAGAATTGGAAGTCGCCTTGCGATGGGTTTATTTGTTGGTTGTGATGCAGAGGACAATGAAATAAAGGGAATCTTTGATTGGAGGGACAAATCAAGTACTTCCCAGTTACCTGGACCAGGACTATGACATTTCATCATATATATTAATCACCTGGATGAAAAAAAAAAGTTATGCTGTGAAATTTGCAGAGGAGAGAATGAAATCACAATATGCATAGAGCAATTAAGGAAAGAAAAATCATGCCAGATTCACAGTACCCTCTTGAAGAAGAGTGAAATCAGCCAGTTTGGATCCAAGAGGACTATTTTCGGACAGTGAAAGAGAGTAGAAACTGTGAGGGGACACTGAACACAAACCATTAAGACTAATGCAAAAGGCTAATGTAAAGTTGATCTCAAGGGACTGGAAAATAAAGAGAAAGAAATGTTTCAATTGTAGAAACTTGGTGGGATCTCACCTGTGTACTGTATTCAGTTTCGAGCACATCTCAGGAAAGAAACAGGTGAAGATAAATATTACTTCACCAGAATAACACCGGATTTTAAAGGATTAAATTATGAACAGGTGACAAAGTTGGATTCCGTGCTGCTGAGTTTAGACATGTTTGTAAGTTAATAAAATTTGATTCAGATGAAGAAAAACAATATTTTCCAGGAAAGTGCAGAACAAGGGGTCTTAGGATTAAAATGATGATACTAATTTAGTGAAACATGGCTACATCTTTCATGGCTACTCTTAACTAGTATAGATGAAGAACTAATTAAAATGTTTGACTAAAATTGATTCCTTTACCCTGTAAAAGTATCAAAGGATTACAGAGCACAGGCAAGTACTAAGGGTTGTGGTATAGATGAGCTACTACCCGAGAAGCACTGAATATCACTGTTGTCAGTTTCCTGTTACACAAGCTAACAGATTTTTAGGAAGGCTTATGTTATATGCAGCAGTTACAAAGAAGTAGTTAGCATAAACTGCATCACTTGAACTACAGGAAAGGCTGTGGATCCCTCTGATGTGCATCTGAAGTAAAATTATTAGAATTGCAGATCATCTACGAAGTAGTTTGGGACCAAGATATTTCAGACACAGACTTCCTTCTGCTACTGTTTTTTGGGGAGCCTGGTTTAGCCCTGTTCATGGCGCCTATATCACAGGAAATAAGAAGCAATGAGGAGCTGAATGGCCTATATTGATTATTTTGTGAAATAAAAGGTTGAAATTTCACACATTATTCTATCCAATAAATAGCACTTGCCCAAAACTAAATATATTCAAAAAATTACTTTTCAAGTAATACATGCCCCAATAAGCTATTTTCAATAATAAAGACATAAGTATATCAGCTCAATCAGTTTTTAGAGGGGCAACCTATGCTAAATATACAGAAATCAAATTGTGTTTAAATTGGTGCCAGTTGTTAAAAGATAATTCATTTTCTGTAAAGAATTCAGTCAACAAATAGCAGCACGAATGAACTATGAATCTTCAGGGATTACTCACACAGATATTAACAAGTCTAAATAAACATACTTAAGAGACTTGAAAAAGCTGAAAATTCAAACTAAACTGAGCTTTGAATTAACTTGAATCTTGAAGCAACATTATAATGGGTCGCACAATTAAGACCTTGGAAGTAGTATCTAACTTGAGAACATGAACGAACAGGGCCAATATCACAAAATGCTTCTCCCCTCCCCTGCCTGGAATGGCAATTTAGTGTCTGATGGTGTACAACTCTAGTCTTCTGCATTTATTGGTCACAATATGACCACAGACACAAACAGTCCTTTAAAAAATACTACATATCATCTGTTAAAAAATTTGACTATTTAACAGAATCACCTCCAGCAAACTGTCTAAAAAGTCCCAATTCCACTTATGACTAACAGGGACACATCACAAAATTGAGGTGTTCCTGCATCATGTTCAACAAATATATTTATATAATTTGATAGTCTGTGGAATTACCTTTAATCCCTTAGAAACCTAAACAAAAACTGTTTGCCAATCTAAATAGTCATTCATGCTCATACAGGGTTGCATAACAGGACTTTTTTTTAAAGTTGTAGATGTGCCAGGTGTTCAAACAGCTATTCGGAGGATTTTTTTTAAATTCAGAGTTATCTTATCATTCCTCGCCCCCCAAAAGTATTCACTCACTTTATTTTTACAGACGCATGCCACTCAATTATGTATTCGCTATCCCAAGGAACACTCTGCCTGAAAGGACTTCATTTACGATGATAAATGATTTAAGTTTATTGTCCGTTAACCCAGTCCTTACCGGCGGATTAAAATCCAAATGGCAACTCCGTGGGGTGGGGGAGAGAAATCAAAACTTACTGCGCATCAACAAGATCGTGCTGAGACGTAGAGAAAGCGACTCCCGCCCTAGTGTATTGCATAATAACTCCGACTGCTCCACACTAAAGCTACTTATCGGTTAAAAATGTGACCACTAAAATCTCAATTAAGGTATCGTGACCGTAAGAAATTAAAATAGTTTGGTTTTCCATGTCGATTCAACCGAGGCCTATTCCATAACCGTTAAAATAACACGCGGTCTCAGGCAAGGTCGGCTAACAAAAACCGTAGATGGGAGAAAAAAATAATTACCTTAAAATGATAGATCGCCGTAATCAGTCGAATCTGAACGTTAGAAGCCTGTCCCTGTTCGGCTTGATGTTGAATCTTTTCCTCTTAATCCTTGATTCTCAGGCCTTGCTGCCCGGATCGTCTTCCGCCCTTAGGCCTCGCTCACTCTTTTTAGACAAATATATATTTTAAAAACGGATCTGCGAGGCAAAGAAGTTTTTTAAAATGGTTTTCTTTAAAACATCAACGATGTTTGAGTTAAACAAATACTACAAATGTGTGTTTTGTGTGTGTACGTGTACTTTCTTTTCCTCACGGACACATGAACAAACAAGACACTCGACCGCTCAAAGCCACAACAAAATGGCGCCGGTTCCGTCCAGTCCGCCAGCACCACGCGGGGTTTCCCAAGGACAGGGCGCAAGGGCAGCGCGTCACACACGTCACGCCGCGTCTTGCCCGCGCGAGCCTGCTAGCTCCATGGCAACCGGGTCGCTCTGGCAACCTCAGTGACGTAGGCCTTCCCTTCATCCAATCCCGTTCCCCGCGCCCCACCTCTACCCACTTCCAGTTCCTCTTACCCTAAACCCAAGTTCTCCAAATCCTCAGATATCCTTCCCCACATACTCTCACACCCATACCCCACCCCCAGAGTCCCTGACCTCTCCTCCCCCACACACCCACACTCATAACCCCTTACCCAGACCCCACCATCCCAACCAGACCCCCAACCCAGACCTCATGCATCCCACCCCATCCACACCCTGACCCTCACCCAAACAGACCCCTCCTCCCACAAACCCCACTAAGAAGCCTCCCCGACTCACTCAGACCCAGACCCCTTGCTCCACACCCACTCCTCCCTCCACATCCGGACCCAATCACACACACATCC